GCTGCTGGCGCTGCTGTGGTGTGCAGGTGCTGTTAGTATTTTTTCAGTGGGTGTACCAGCAGCAGCAGAAGTAGCAGTGGAAGCAGCAGCTGCAGCTGCAGCAGCAGCAGCTGTTGCTGCTGCTGCTGCTGCTGTGTGAATGTTGTTTGTGCTCAGCGTGGGTACTGAGGTGTACAGCTTTCCGGGTGTCTCTGCAGCTAACCACTCTCACTTCTTTTCACTCCTTTCCCCTGAAGAGCAAAAGCAACATCAGGGTCCCTAAACCCTAAACCCTAAACCCTAAACCCTAAACCCTTAACCCTAAACCTTAAACCCTAAACCCTAAACCCTAAACCCTAGCATTTCCCTTATACAAATGCTTATTCCATTTGGCAGCTCCGCTCTGTTTGCATTGCACATGAAAACAACACGGTTTAGGGTTTAGGGTTTGGGGTTTAGGGTTTACTGTCTAGTGTATATTGTTTATTGCTTATTTTTTTGTTTATTGTTTATTGTTTATTGTTTATTGCTTATTGTTAACATCTTGTTCGTTATTCCTTTTTCCTTACTCTGTATTATTTATTCTTTATTCTTTATTCTGGTTTAGGGTTTAGGGTTTAGGGTTTAGGGTTTAGGGTTTAGGGTTTGTGTGCAGAGGACTTAGCATACCGGGGCGAGCGTTGGCCTAGTTGGTGCCCTGAGCGTCTGTTTGCTCGTTTAGATGAAGAGTGGATAGAGACAATAAAGAAACAATTTAGCAGAAAAGAAGCAGAAGAATTTATTAAAGTAATTCATACCTCCCTATACACCCCAACTGCCTATACACCGCAATACAAACAACAATTATCGGCAGCGCTTCTTTTTCTTTCTGCTTACTGCTTTATTAGGGTTTATAAGGGTTTATTAGGGTTTATGAGGGTTTGTATCCACAGAAGAAGTTTAAGGGTTTAGGGTTTAGGGTTTATAAGGGGTTATAAGGGTTTATAAGGGTTTACGATGGTTTATTTGCGCAGAGGGAGAGTTTAGGGTTTATAATGGTTTTTAAGGATATATAAGGGTATATAGGGGCTTATGAGGGTTTTTAAGGGTTTATTGGGGTTTATAAGGGTTTATAAGGGTTTATGAGGGTTTATAAGGGTTTATGAGGGTTTATGAGGGTTTTTGAGGGTTTATAAGGGTTTATTAGGGTTTATATTGAGGGTTTCGAAGCTGCTTATATAAATGGAAACAAGGGTTTATGAGGGTTTATGAGGGTTTATATTGAGGGTTTACAATGGTTTATAAGGGTTTATTAGGGTTTAGTAGGGTTTATTAGGGTTTAGTAGGGTTTATGAGGGTTTATGAGGGTTTATGGATGCAGAAAGAGTTTGAGGGTTTTGAAGATGTTTATATAAATGGAAATACTTTTCACGACCCTCTTCGTTTGTCCGTCTCAATAAAATATTATTTATTAAACGAAAAGCTCCGCGAACAGAATAAAACATCTTCATCCTTTTATGATTTAATCAAAACAAAATATAAAATTTGTGTTAGCGGTGCTGGCGACTGGCGGTTCTTAGATTTGCTTCCAAGAGGAGGTAAAGAAAATATATAATTAATTTATTTATTTATTTATTTATTTATTTATTTATTTATTTACTTATTTTAGTTGTTTGTTTGTTTAATCGTTTATTTATTTATTTTTTTAATTTCGTTATTTTGTTTATTTATTTATTTTCTTTGTTCATTTGGTTGTTTATTTATTTATTTATTTATTTTGTTTATTTATTTAGTCTATCTGTGTGTTTGTGTGTTTATTTTATTTGTATCTTTATTTCATTCGTTTGTTTGTTTGTTTGTTCAATTATTAATTTAATTTAATTTATTTATTTATTTGCTTTGTTTGTTTGTTTTGTTTGTACACAATTTAAATATATGCAATTTATATATATATTTTGATATATTATTTGTATATTTATTTCTACCTAATAAAATAGATAAAGAAATAAGATAAATAAATAAATAAAACAAATGAATGAATAAACAAATAAATAAAACAAACAAACAAATAAATAAATAAATAAATAAAACAAATAAATAAATAAATAAAACAAATAAATAAATAAATAAATAAATAAAACAAATAAATAAAACAAATAAATAAATTTGTTTTTGTGTTTTGTTTCATTCGCTGGGTTGCTCTCCTTTTTTGTTTTCGCTGTTTTCTTTCTTTTGTTTATTTTTTATTTAATTTATTTATGTACTTCATCTATTTAATTTATTTAATATATATTTAATTTATTTATTTAATTAATTAATTTATTTTATTTATTTTATTTATTTTATTTATTTTATTTATTTTATTCAGGAGGGAAGTTGGGTGCGTCTTTGTTTGTAATGAACAAATTAGGCTTCGCCAAGCAAAAGGTAA